AGCCCAGGAGTTGGAGGTTGCTGTGAGCTGTAATGCCACGGCACTCTGCCCAGGGGGACAGCTTGAGGCTCTGTCTCAAAAAACAAAACAAAACACAAGCCACAAAAAGGGAAGAGTCAGGCCCTGGCAAAGCCAGCGAGGAGGCAGGTCCTGCCGCCTAAGTGGGTGTAGGTGATGACCTCCACGTTGACTCTAACCAGTAAAAATGTCATCCCCGAAGTGCGGATACCATCCAGTCAAGTTGCCAAGGCCTCTGCAGATCCAAGTTCACTAAGACGTTCAGGGTGCCAGGTTGTGTCTTGTTCGTACAAGTGAGGCAAAGGCTGAACGGCAGGTGTGAGCACTTAGAGCTCTGACCCAAGTCTGGAGGACTTCAGAGTCAACCCAGGAACCTTTCGGCTCCAAATTGCAGTGGCAGCTCTTCCGCGCGGGGAGAAGAGAGCATGAAGGGGACACCAAGCGAGCTGGGGCAGACTTGCTCCGCACCGCGAGGGTGGAGTGCAGCCTGCGGCTCCAGGAGCGCTGGTCGCTGCTTAGTGACCCGGGCCTGCACGCAGCGTGGCGGGAGCTGGGTCCCGGGGCGCCCAGAGACAGGGTGTGTGGACTACACTTCCCGGCATGCCTCGGGCAAGGGCGGGGTGGAGCCGAGCGAGCCGGGAGGCCGGCCAGGGCCAGGCGTGCGCGGTGGGTCTTGGGAGTGGCGGAGCGGGTCCTCCGGGGCTGTCAGCTGTGGCCTGGGGCGCCCGGGCCCGGGTGGCCCCGACCATTGGCCGAGACGCGAGCGGGGCGGGGCCGCCGCCAGCCGCTGCGGGCCAAGCTGAGCAGGCGGTGGAAGGCGGCGGGCCGGGAAGGCACAACCCGAGCTGCTGCATTCGGCCTGGCCATGGCAACGGCGCCCCTGAAAGTGTGCATCGTTGGCTCAGGGAACTGGTGAGCGGCGGCGGGCGCGGCGTGGGCTCCGCCTCCAGGAAGCCCCTCTCCGGGAGAGCGAGAGCTGCGCGCCCGGGCCACAGCATGGGCACCGGGCACCACGCACAGGGAGACGGGGCGGGCGACCTTGCGGTCGGCTGGGCACCGCGCACGCAGGGAGTCTGCACCAAGGCACTCCCCGGAGGCGCTGAGCTCCCACGCTCACGGGGGACGGCGCGCCTGCCGGCACCTGTCTGCGCCGTGGTTGCCGCGCGACAGGCGCACGAAGGCCACCTGCTAGCTACGGCCCGGGTGTTTTTGCATAACATCCTAAAAGAGTTCTCCATTCTTCGCGGCCGATTGCCTGAAGGAATGGAAGGAGGCTCGAGTATTCGTTCTTGCTGTAGCTCGGGTGTTGGGGAAACCGAGGCAGAGAGGGCAAAAGGGCTTTTGCTGTCCTGGTAGTGGCGGAGCAGGCGCTGCCCCCGCGTCCAGTATTTAGTAGCCTTGTATAAGGAAGAAATGTCAAGATCCAACAGGCGGTTTCTCCCAGGGGCATTGAGAATTCTCTTGTGGGAGATGTTTACAAAGCTCTGCGTCTCTACTCGGTTTTATTAGACTTTAGCGTTTATAAAGCACCTTACAAATGTCAGATCTTTTAATATCTTTTATCAGACTTTGTGAGATTCTGTGGTGTGATGGGTGGATGCGGTGTGTAGCTTCTGGTATTTCCAGGATTCTTCCCATTGCTGTGCACTCTCTTCCCCACATCCGAGGGTCTGGTATTGGATAACTACGAGTGATGTTGCTTTCCTCGCTGCCGTTTATCTGTTACTGTGGGCTGACAGGCATCACAGTTCAGGCTCTAGGAGTGCTGCAGTAATTGGTGCTAAGGGATTGGGTCTTATTCTTACTCCTTTGAGAGTTGGCCAAGGTTCTCCACTTTTCCATGCTGGCACGGCCAGCGGCTTTATCCCGTGCTTCTATTACTGCATCATAATAAATTACTTGATTGTATCTTCAACATGGGTATACCCTTCATCTTGGGTATCCTCTCTACCCAACTCTTGAGACTAGCATCTAATCTACCCTACTGCCTGGCATATGCCAACTAAATGTTAAATGAATGTCTGAGCAATAGTTTTATTTATTTATTATTGTTATTGTTATTGTTATTTTTTTTGCAGTTTTTGGCTGGGGCCGTGTTTGAACCTACCACTTCTGGTATATGAGCCCCGCGCCCTACTTCTTTGAGCCACAGGCACCACTATTACTATTTTTAAGACAGCTTCACTTTGCTGCTCTTGGTAGAGTGCCGGGAAATCATAGCTCACAGCAACCTCCAACTCTTGGGCTGAAACAATTCTTTTGCCTCAGCCTCCCAAGTAGCTGGGACTACAGGCTCCTGCCACAACACCCAGCTATTGTTTTTAAGAGGAGGTCTCACTCTGGCTCAGGCTCATCTCCAATTGGTAAGCTCAGACAATCCAGCTGCCTAGGGGCTCCCAAGTGCTAGGATTTGGCTGAACAATAGTTTTATTATTATTATTTGTAGAGACAAAATCTTACTTTATTGCCCTCAGTAGAGTGCCATGGTGTCACAGCTCACAGCACCCTCCATCTCCTGGGCTTAGGTGATTCTCTTGCCTCAACCTCCCAAGTAGCT